AGCCGTCTTGTTACCTTTTTGCAAAGAACTCTTCGTGTCAGTATATGGTAAAAGCCATTTTATCGTATTCTGTTTTATCGTATTTATAAAATAAGCAATCATCTTTCCGCATCACTGGAAAGATGATCGCAGTTATGAAATCGTCTTGGAAGTCCATGACACTGACACTCTGTCCAAAGGATGCGCTCAAAAAGGAGATTTCTTTTTTTTTTTTTTTTTCTTTTTGCATTGTCAAATCCACTTCAAGCAGATGCATATTTTATAAACATGAAAATTAACAAAGAACAGACTAATAACATTGTGTCATTTTATTTAGGTCAAACACTAAAGAAAGTGTCGAGAAAGGGCGCTCACTCACCACAGCAAAGTACTCGTGTATACTATGTGGTAATGCGAGAATACACCACTGCAAGAATATCACAATATTCAATACTGGCAGCACCTCTTATCAGTTTCAGACTTAAAAGGCACATTAAAAGGAACCATTTACTTAAAAACAACTCGGTGCCAACTGTTGAGAAAAATAAAACGTGCACACACTCAACGTTTCACATGTCGAGGTGGTTGTGTGGAAGAAAGAGAATATCGTCAACATGAATGGATAAACGGAATTGCCACTCCTAAATTAATACCCGCTAATGAGAAGCCTGTCTCTGTTGGTGAACTTAATGCCTGGGGTGACGTGCATATAGTAGTACACTGATGGCAATCTGCACAAAAACAACAGCATTTTGTCCAAATTTCGAATGGCAAGTTCCACACAGGTTGACTGATTAGTCTGCTGCACACTGAGGCAACAGAATATTGCCAAACTTCAAAGCTGAAGTGGACACAAAGAAACATTCACTTTAAACAAGTGACCAAGACAATTTTCTCAATCTGCATTCAAAAAAGAATTCAACGCGGCCACAAAACCATCTTACTGGCTTGATCAAGTTACCTGCAGAGGTTGACCTCAAGCATTCAAAGATTAAGTCTTTTGCTATAGTGACTTGCCCGTCCGAAGTCACAGTGGAAGGCCAATCATAAAACTTCATTCTTAGTCATTCCACTAAGTACTTTGTTAAAAGTCCTGACATGAAAGTCATTGCCTTCTTTGCTTTTTTTTCCTGTTTTGTACTGCAACTTGTCAGCAAACATTTCAGAACAGGCAGTTTGATTCCCTCAAACACTCGGCTAGCTGTCCCGTCGTGTTTGAAAGCACCAGATAGGGCAGCATGATTACTGTGACAAGATGCATTCTTTTTCTTTATAATTGCCCACTGCAGCAGACAAAAAGTGAACCATTGTAAAAGGTTAAAAAAAAAAGAAAAAGATTTTACTAAGTTAGAATGAAAAATTTGTTAGCACAAAATATGATGTTTCTTAAGCTTCGTCGCAGTGGTTGCAAAAATATTCCAGAAACCAGACTCACCATGAAACGAACTACACCGACTTTACATAACAAATATAACAATTTAATCAGACGTTTCATCTCCCGTACATGAGACATCATCAGTGATACCAAGTTGGCAAGAACGCCAACTTAGCATAGCTGATATCTCCCGCGTATGGCAAACAAAATGTCTCAACTTCAAGTGTTATAGTAGTTGTAACGTAAAGTCGGTGTAGTTTGTTTCATTACCATGATATATATATATGCAAAATGACCTTGTCGATATACTGTGTATAGTACCTATAAACCCAGCTCGGGCTACTACGGGCCGTTCGTCGAAAGACAATTCGTAACAGGGCAATTCGTAGCAGGGCAGTTGGTCGCGTAGGGCAATTCGTCATAGGGCTATTCGTCGCTAGGGCATCTAGTCGAAAACTGGGTTTTATTTTTCTAGTTTATTTTAGAGCGCAGCTCTTAGGCGCCCGTTCCCGGCTTGAGTGGCGTCACCGTCGGCGTCGGCGTAACCGCGAGTAACCCTCGTTACCCTCGTGAGGGTTACAAGGGTTACTCTCACGAGGGTAACCCTCGTAACCCTCACGAGGGTTAGTTACCCTCAAAAGGGTTACCCTCACGAGGGTCACGAGAGTTACCCTCACGAGGGTTACTAGGGTTACCCTCACGAGAGTCACGACGGTTACCCAGGTGACGTGACCCCCCTCCCAAGGTCACGTGACCCCCCTCCCAAGGTCACGTGACCCCCCTCCCAAGGTCACGTGACCCCCCTCCCAAGGTCACGTGACCCCCCCCCAGGTCACGCGACCCCCGTTGACGTCATCACCACTGATGACGTCATCAGTGACGTCACGGATGACGTCACTGGCATCCGCATCGTCATCATCACTGATGATGTCATTAGTGACGTCACCGGCATCCGCATCGTCATCATCACTGATGACGTCACCAGTGACGTCATCAGCATTGTCACGTGACCCCCCAAGGTCACGTGACCCCCCCGCCACCCGAGGTCACTTGACCCACCCCCCCAGTGCCCTTCCCTCCTCCTCCTCAAGAGCTGCACTCTAATTCTGCGTTACAGGGAGTTGTAAACGGCTTTCATTTTTTTTAGGACAGTTTAGAGGAATTCGTGAAAGGGAAAGGGGGAGGGGATGGAACATGTATGTATAAAATATGAAGTTCAGAAGCCTTTAAAAAAAAGTTCGAACACCGCCTTGCTGTCCGTGCTGTTTTGGAGTTTCGGAAAGGTCCGAGGCTGTTCTTCTAAACATGCATGCTGTGTTGTATCCTGTTTGGATAGTTCACGATCCTTTGTCCGTTTTCTATACTCTATTCACCCTTAAGCTGACAGTGCACGGGAGGCTGTGTGTTCGCCGGGCCAACAGTTTGAGTAGTTCAGCAAGCGTGCAACCTTTTTGTTACTTCTTTGTTACTTAAATTTCGCTGATCCTTCTTTTTTTTTTTGGAAAGTCCAGAACAAACATTTAAGACTTCCAAGATAAAGTTTATAAAACCTCTTTGTAATCCACATCCTTTTAGTTCCAAGGGCACGTTAGTACACCACTGGTCTAAGCGTTTATTTTGGCAGTCGCTATGAAAGTCATCAGGACTGAAAGAGGCGGGGAGATGCTGGTTTGTGAAGGATTTTCATATGCTGTTAACCGGGGGACTGAGCGAAGCATCTACTGGGTATGTTGAAGAAGAGAGACCTGCAAAATAAAGATCATGACTGACGTCTCTAAGTTTCACGTTAAAGTCACAAATAACCTCAGTCATGCTGTGGTCATTTGTGACAGTTATTTTAAAGTCACAAATAACCACAGACAACAGGGACATCCTTGAGGCTTGCGCCAAAAGCAGAACATTGTAAACGGAGATGTATATGCAGAGTTTCCGATGCAAATAAAACTCGTTTCGTGAAGTGACACCTTTGTGGTTCTCCTATCAAGATTACTGAAACATATTTAGAACTCGGTTGTGGCGTATACCCACAAAAGTAGACAGCGTCTACTGCGAAAGTAGAGCATTTAAGCCAAATCTTAAAAATTATGCTACAAATAAAAATACCAAATGAGGGAGAACCTTCGTTGGTAAATGATAATTTTGAAGCAATATACTCGATAAACTGGGAAAATTAAACATATAAGAAGCGTTTAATAGGGTGACGAATCGTCATCTGGACAAATTGCCCTATGACGAATTGCCCTATGCGACGAATTGCCCTGCTACGAGTTGCCCTGCTACGAATTGTCTTTCGACGAATAGTCCTAATGCCGTCTGAGGCGAGTAGCAAACTCAATAGTATGCTATTCAAAGTGATGTTAAAACACTCCGACAACTTGCACGTCTGTCGTAACAAATAGTAGTGTAGCAAGGCCTAGGCTGTTTCAGTGTTGCGGAAATGGTCCAGTTGTGACATCACCAAGCATACTCCCAATGTCAGCTGGCAAAGATGATTCAAGTGCCAAAACGGTGGAAACTAAAGCTTGGTATTATTTATTGCTCTTTGCTTGTAGAATGCTCATAAGCAGTAGTGAGGCAGTAAGACAGTGCATTGTAGGAAAAAGTAGTTTATTTGTGATCCACTGAATCCACAAAGAACAGAGTACAGTAGCTGATATATTTCATTGTACAACCTCAGGAACAAAAATTAACCTGGAGCAAAGTGGAAAAACTAGATAAAATGCATGGAAATCCAGAGAACTTGGGAAAAATCACTTTTCAAAATGTTGTCACAAAAATCTAGACATATATTCAAGGTGCGTTAATAAACCCCAATGCTCCTCATCCACTCAATATGCACAGTTAAAGGTAGCTCTACAAGTCCTAAAACAAAAATTTATCCAGAAGTTAAAAACTGCTATAATAAAGCCATTCAAAACAAAACCACCAAAATGCTATGGAGCAGAACTATGGCTTTTGCTTAACTGCAACTCATAATGTTTAGAACTGTGAATATGCCTCTGTTTCTCAACTTCAGGTGAACAAACAAATAGGCAGTGAAGCACACAATAAAATATAAAAACTTACACACAAACGACCTCAAGATATTTCATGGTGCGGAGCCCTCACTCGTGCATATTTTTCCGGTGGGTACTTAAATGGATCTTTCGTTTAAACATGTACCCACAGGTTTCACACTTGTAAAGCCCCAACCCTCTGTGGGTTCTCTCATGACGTAACAAGTTATCTCTTTTCGAAAATTCTTTCTCACATGTGCCGCACTTGTATGGTCTTTCGCCCGTATGTACTCTTTTGTGAGTCGCCAGGACATGACTTCTGGCGAACGCCTTGTGGCAAACATCGCAACTGAATGGTTTCTCCCCCGTGTGGGTCCTCATGTGAAGCCGTAAGTTACGGATGTCAGCAAACGCTCTCTCGCAGACAGAGCAGCGGAAAGGCTTCTCTCCTGTGTGCGTCCTTTCGTGCTGGTTTACATGACATACATTATGACTGGAGTAAGGGCAGAACTTGCAGCAATACATGCCCTCATATCGTATCCGCGTTGTGGGTTGTGACTCAACCAGTTCATTTCTTGGGGAAGAGGAGTTGCTCTCGCTGTCCCCATCATCCCGGAAAGCTCCTTCGGCCGGCGCTGTTCGGGAGACCAGAGAAACAAGACAAAGAAAGTCAAAGACAATGAAAGAGTAATGCCAAGGCACAAACTTTAGCAGTGGTGGAACTGAAACAATGAATTTTGAAGCAGACAAATTTCAGCTTTCATGTCAGAAAATTTTATGCTATTTCTTCTAAAGTTAGCCTATGAAAAAAAAAAACTGCAGTTGTAGTGTTGGGAGCCAGGTAACCTACCAGTTACCTGGCTACTACAGATATTTATTTATTTATTGAAAAATTATACGAGGTAAATCTCCCAGATGTCTGAATAACCTATTAGGAGTACCGACGGCGTCTTCGGTTTGATGTAGAAAAAATGTTTTTGGCTACTTTGTAGGGTTTGTATTACAGTGAGGAAATTACGCTGAGGAAAAACGGACACTTTTGCATTGAATGTGTCCCACGCTGCCTTCGCTCGTATTCAACCTGCTACTGTTCATAGAGCAGCTAAGTGGAGCACATGGCTACTCTTACCGATCACAATGAGTAGCACAACCTATTTATTGCAATCGATGGGAACACCGTTCGCACAAGAACCGACAACTCTTCATTAAGCATGTGCAAATAATGGATATTGGGTTTGAAGCAAATTCAAAGTGAATAGGGGTTCTGGCCGAATATATTTTAATCGAATATTGAATAGTTGCTGCTCCTTTCACTACTGCTACACCATGCTTAAAGAGAAAATCAGCTGAACTTGCAAAGCTTCTCCCCAAACCTCCAACTGCCCACTTATGAGCTCTGTTAAATTTAATCTAGCTATATTTACAGACTCTGGCCTCAGACAGTGGAATACCTACATTGGCAAGGCAGGTGAATGACATATTTGACATAAAATTAAACCTATAAGAGAGCCATACCTAATTGAAGGGATTTTTTCCATTGCTGAATTAAAAGAAAACAAGCACAAATATTGAACACAGGTTGTTAAAACATTGCTGTCTAACATATACCCTGGCATGATAGCCACAGTTAAATTTTGAAGATTTTACTGCAATCTAAGAATCAACAAAGACAATGTTTTCTTTTTTCATTACACCAGGCGCATGCATGCATTATACCTCTCTGAAGGTGTGTTTTTCACCTAAGTGTCCGGCTGCGCTGCGGCGAAGTGAGTCCCGAGATTGCGGTGTCAGCTCCGCGAGTATTGCTTCTCCGCAGTGCAATGGTGCTTGAGGAGAAGCGCACTCAAGGGGGTTAACCCGACATGATCAACACTTCGAAAAATATCAATATTGTTTATAATTTGAATATTTGCACAGCCCTACACTTAGCACATAGTGCTTGGGCATCCGAAAAAAAAAAAAAAAAAAACAACAAAAAAACTGTACTTTCTTAATTTTCAGTGGCATCGCCAAGAATGCTACATGCCAAATACTTTCAGTTTCCTTTTTGAGAACAGCTCCCTTTGGTGCAGACATGGCGCAAATTGTGCACAAATACAGCCTTTGGAGCAGCATGTAGCAGGTCATTCATTATGGCGCAGTTTGGCGCAAATGTCGCACCAGATCCTCCACTGCACTGCCTTCAGCAGAAGGCAGCACACACAAAACAAACCTATCGACACCCTTTTTGTTTAAGAACAAAGGGAACAAACTCGGCAAGGTACAATTAAAGCATTAAGAAGGGCTCTTATTACATTCATGTGATATCACATATTAAGATAATGAAAAATTGACAGGCATAGCCCAGTCACGCAGAAAACTTTTATGTATACTTTATCTTTAATTGAAGCGCAGCTCACCTCACATCCTAATAGATGTAAGCAATAATAAACCAATCTATTTTCCGGGCTTCAAAATTGCTATGACATAATAAGGCTGCAGTGAATGCTATAGTACTGTGGACGTACCATGTAGTGATGTCTGTCCGTTGTATAATAATGTTCTACAAAATGTCACTGCAGAGTGAATGTCACTGTAAATCTATGAAAAATCACACACTACTTGAGTATGCAAGCAATGCTTCCAGTGTCAGAATGCAATTTGCAAAATAATTGCTGACACCTTGTAGTCTCAAACACCCAACAAGAGCATGTGTTGCAAGACAAGCACATCACACTGGTTTTGTCTGCACAAATGGAGTGGGGGGTGAATTGTGATCACATAGGTCGACTGCTCGTGCTCATCTAAATAACTGGGATCCATTTGATGCAATAGGAGACACTCATTTTGATGATGCTGGACTGGTATAAGCAAGGACACTGCACAAAGAACGCATGCTCCAGAAACTTGGGTTGGCCAGTGGGAAGAAGCATCTCTGCAAACCATATGCCACATGCCACATCCTGCGATGGTCGCCAGTGTCGACCTGCAAGGTTGAGAGGAGAATAAATTGCAAATATACCGTCGCTCGTGTCCGGCGAGCATTTGAGCGCTTTTTAACACACCACACGTGGCAGAATGACATGGATACAAAAGGCATATAGTAGCAAAAGAATCGGTAACAGGAGTGCTCAGAAAACAACAGTCCCAAGTAAAACCAACAGGACCAGTATTCATATGGCCGGACTCTATACCGGACATTCAAGCAAGTTTTTTTACTTCATGCTCTTGATTTGAGGGAATTGTAATTCTTATACAAGTTGGGATGCGGTTATACTTTAATTGCCTCTCATGGTACATGCACTGAATTCTTTTTAACTTATATGTCCTACTTTTTTCATGGGCACTTTGCATTTTTTATTTGACTGCATTTTCTAGCAAGAAGCAATGTACAGTAGAAAAAGTATTAGAGTTCATCAACTGCACAAAAACGATATACCAATGTAAAAAAAGAAAAATGAATGAACACACAAGTTTCACTTTTTACAAAAAAAAAGTGGAAAATTGATTGCCCCATATTCTAGAATCCCCTAAATCACGTGAAAACTACTCAGTTTATGTAACACTTTCTGGTAAAACATTTCTGCAAATATCTAAAAAAACTTACTAAGAGGGGACGTTACAGAAAAATATCTCTGGAATCAAAACTTTTCTCGATATTCCCAAGCAAGTCTTCAAAAAACGGCGAAGCAATCTCCTCTTGCATGTATCACACATGACACTGCACTTACATCTAGGGCTGTAATAGTTACAAAGTAGTGCTCACCTTCACGCAGTGCACAGGGAGAATGCAAGGAACTTTGAGGTCAGCACCTGCAAAAAGGCCCATTGCAACAGATTTGTGCTTACAAATAAAATAATGACACATCTTTAGAGTCCTTTTTGTCACATTTGAGAAAAGCATGGAGAATGAAGTGCAAAAGCACTTCACTTGCTATGATAGCACTTCACTCGCTAAGATTTTTTTAAGTGCCAACTTTTATATTATTAACATGGAGCTTTGCAAGAAACACCATAGCCATGTTTACTTTTCACACACACAAAGAACATGTATGAGATGCAAACATCTATCCAAGAAATACTGCTCACAGACTCAAAGTTCATCAGGAGCTAAACAACGTATGGAGAAGCTTGAATTCAGCACAAATGGTGTCTCCAGGCACTACTGGACGGGTGTCCCTCAAGGTGGCACCTTGTCCAATGCAAACATAGATCTGCTCACATGATCGCTTTTCCGTGGGTGTAACATTGGTACCACCACTCTCCCTTATGATTTCTTCTGAAATTCAACTAGTAGGTTGCATGCCCAAATGCTCACCCAGGAGTGCCGCACTCTAATATATTCTTTTCCCCAAGTGCGTCCCTTTGTGTCTGGTGCTGCTAATTCTGTCGCAGGCGGAGTAAAGAAAAAAAACGGCATTGGTGCTGGTTTTCCCGCCGCTGGGGAGACTTCCACTAGCCCTTCTCTTCATTGCCGGCGGTGCCTGAGACGGGTCCTGCTGGGAACATGTGGCATGTCAAATTGAATTTGCAGACACTGATGAGCCAACATGTTCTAATATGTGCCATGTACTATATTGCACTAAGTGAAACCGATTTAGAACAATCGAGAATAGCAATGTAATTAGTTTTAAAAATTATGACTGGCATAAAATGGCAATTTTTTAAAGATAACCTAAGACGCGGTTGAACGATACTGAAGGCTCATCACCGAGCAGGAAGGCACAGTCGAATCTCGTTGATTCAAACTCGAGGTGGAAAGAAAATTTGTTTGAATAAAGCAAAGTTTGAATTACCTGGAGTTTCCTCCCATAGAGACGCATAGACGGGACCTGCATGTTAGTTTGAATTATCCGCAAGTTTGAATTAAGAGAGTTTGACTTAATGAGAGTCGACTGTACAATGAAATGGAAGATGTTCCCTAATAAGCTCTGGAAAGCACGATCACCATAGATCGTGATAAAAGCCACTGTGCCGCAATATTTGCAAGATAGTCAAAAGTTGCCTAGAATGGTCATAGAGCACAAAGAAGGTATTGGTGTGTCCAGCAAGAACGACCAATTGTCGGGAGGCAAAGGAGAACTTCAGGACGACGGTCTCTATGAAAGGAGCTCTCCAAAATGTCCAAAATAAGGTTGATAACATTAAGTTTAACATTAAGTTTATTTTCTTTTTCGACATGTCATTCCAGCTGCCACGAGTTAAAAATTGATTTTTTGAAGGGTGGCTTGGAATTCTGGTGAAACAGGCCAAAGGAGACCTTTAGAATCTTTCACAGACGCGGCCAGCTTATCTGCTTCATTTCCTCCAATGTCCGCATGGCCCGGCACCCAGCAAAATTTGATACTTTGTTTGAGCTGGAGAGACTGATTTAGTTCTACACATAGAAGATGTGCTAGGAGATTCTTTGTAGCCATCACACTGGCTTGAATCACTTGATAATGGTCAACTACGTCAAGGGCTGTTCACACAAGGCAGGGCTTGTGCTGTACACAGCCTTTGCTGGACGAAAAGCAAGGTTGTTCCTTGCCTTCCAAACCGCTTTGAGTCATTTACTGCCGGGCAAAAGCCACCCCCTCTACTGGCATCATTAGACAAAGCCTCGGTGCATGCACATGAGGGAGGTAATGACATAGCTACCACATGATCTGCTGGTTTAAGGCCTAACTCAAGGATTCTACTTAATGTCGGTCCCAAATTTCTCAAAAGCAAAACGGGAGAGGAGATAACAGCGAGGAGGCAAGGAGATAAGCTGTGTTGTTTCCACGGTTGATGTCCTCATTGAAAATGAATGAGTGCACTCATGCCCTTTGAAATGTATTTGCTGTGCATAGCACATGATGTTCCCTGCATGGACGGTCCCTTAGCTGTGTAGCCAGGGGAGGCCCAGGGAGGGCCCGGCAGTGCAATCTTGTCACGTTTAGGCGACGTTCAATTACTTGCAAACGATGCACAGGGCTGGTGATAGCACCTTCACCGAAGCAGCGATGACTTGCAAGGTTTGGAAAAATGCGAGGCAATCGATGCTCCTGCAAATCAAGTATACAATCATTTTCAAGGCAGTAGCATGTCACACGACATGGTCAGATTGAGAAAATACAACACACTTTTTCGGTCCCAATAAATAAATCACGAATTGCAGGAACCCCTGTGGGAATGTGACACTATTATTGGTGACAGAATACAGTTTGAGAACAGTGTTATTTGAATAAAATATAAAGCCAAAGGTAATATTTCTTCTTGAGCCAACATACATCAAAGCCTAACGATCATCAAACGTCAATTCATTAACATTTTTTGTTCTGCTTTATTATGCTCTCAAACTTTTGCAACTATTCCCACTGCTGGCATCAACTTTTTGGTTTCTTTTACTTTCAGGTTTTCGCGGTGCATAGTTTATTTGTGTGCCAAAAAACAGAGTTTATTTTTCTCAATCACTCTATAATTCCCAGTTCAGGAAAATTTTAGCAATAAATACAAATAACATTAACAATAATCAACATACCAGAAAATCCCAAAAGGGATTTTCCCTTCTGGGATTTGTGGCTTGATGTTCAATTTGTTTGTTTTTAAACACCAAAAAATAGTTTATTCGTAGTAATCGTAGTGTTCGGATCAATGATGTCCTTGGTGTAAATCCCGCTAGGTACCTATAGAGGGATATAAGCAAATATTGCCGACTGGGAAGTGTGGTCATCTTTGCTTCATTGCCCCTCGCTGCGATAACAAGTTTGACAAAGACAAATGATCTAAAAATAGCATTTTTTCAACTTTTCTCGATTGCAGATAGAAAGTTAGCTTACTCCTTATTTTTACCTAATTTTCTCTCGAGTTTAGGTGAGCTATCTCGAGACTTCACGGTAGGTTGGTCACACCGATTAAAGGGGCCATGAAAACAAAATGTATCTGCCAGACATCAATTTATCTATATTGAATAAACCACAAAGAAGATGATTTCTAGGTACTTCGGTAAAATATTGTGCCAACATTTCATAAGCATGGGCAGCATGAGCAACGGAACGTCACCTTGGCTATGTAAGAAGGTTTAACAGATATTCAACTTTATTTAGACTTAAAATATTAAATTGTGAGGTATAAAAACATTGAGGTATTTATCGGCATTCTTGCATTAGTTCTATGCTACTGCAAAAAGTGATTGCGACTGTTTCGGCCTCAAACACATCCAGGTTCCCTGTTGTTTGGCAACCATCAAACCATGCTGCACCTCCCACCACAGATCGCATTCGTTGAGGAATGTGGCTGTGGGACCAGATCGTGGATTAGAATTATAATAAAACATGAATTAAAGCAATAAAGAAACACTATCCCAAGAGGATTTTAACCCAGACCTCCGAAAAATCGGTAAGGAAGAGGGATGCAAGCGCCCGACCTCTCGACGATCAGCACAAACTTTTTGGGCCCTTCATTTTTATGGGCGTAGTACTAGGACATTGTAGTTTTCCCACGACTGGCTATGAAATGACCATATCCCTCAGGCCCCAAAAAGCAAGACTCGAGAACATTAAAGTTAGGTAACAAATCACACCATTTTTTATTAATTTGTACATGCTGTGTACATTTTTTTTTCTTGCTGTTTGCATACTGTTTGGCTTGTGCATGTAATATGTTTGGTTGGAATATTTTTTTTAAATATTAATGTATTTACTTGTGTATATCCATAGTACTGTAGACCAGTGTTGCCAGATGGTCCCACAAAAACCGCCAAATAACTGAGAGGTATAGCCCAATATAGCCAAAGCCATAAAAAATATAGCCCAAAATAGCCAAGACTAAAAACAATGATTTTTGAGCCTTATATTGACTATTTCTTACACTCACACATACACGTTACAATTTCTGTTTTAACCCTCAGATGCACCACCTTTTGTGTACATTGTTACTTGTGAATTTTTCAAGAAAAGCTTTGAAATGATGAAAATCCGTACAAAACTGGCCCTTCCTTCGTAGGTTTTCAGAAGTACAAAACACACAAAGACAGCTTTATTGTGAAGCCCGGGAGATATGATCATACAGTAAAAGAACGAAATAACGAGAACAGTCAGAACACTGGATGTTTCAAACCGGAACCCCAATATCTCAGGTCCTCACCAATATCCCACTTGTCTCTTTTTCTTTGTGAAGAATATTAGTGTCACCCATTCATGTTCCTGCTATTTCTGATTGTGCTGTCCTTTCTCGGGGTGGGCAGCGACTGGAAGGTAGTCAATGGTTTAGCGGTGAAACTGCGGATTTCTCAATTTTACAAACCTGGGTGCCTAAGGATTCTCACAATGGGCACCAAAGCAGCATTTGGAGAGTTCAGTCGACGTCCGGGCGGGGCCATATGCGTCCGGGTTGGAGGCGCTACCGGGCCTGTGGTAATTGTGCAATCTGTTTGGTTTGCTCGACCGCGCTGCAGGGAGACCGCTTGAACTCTGCAAGCATTGCTTCACTGCGCATTGTGAAAACACCGAAGTTTGTAGAAGTTTGAAGCCTTTCTCCTTCCTCTCTTTCCTCTCGACTAGCCAAAAGAGAAACATTTTTATTCGAAACTGATTAAAAGTTTGAAAATTAACAAGCCGAATCTGAAAGTTCGGCGTCGAACCTGAGGTCGACAAAAGTTCGCCGTATTCTTAGAAATAGTCCAAAATAGCCACACAGCCAACCACAATATTTTGATGCCAACTAGAAAAAATGTAGCCCAATTTGGCTATATATAGCCCAATCTGGCAACACTGCTGTAGACATGTTATCCGCAAGTTAACCTTCAGCGTTAGCATTTCTTTCAAGCATATCTTGTTCACTGATCAGAAAAAGCCTAGAATCCATTTGACACATTGTTTCACTTGACCGCTTCTTTTATCTATTTGGGACAGCCAAAGCAAAACAAAACACCGTCCCACAAGCACGCTGGCGGGACAGCGGGACCATGGCCGGAAAAGCGGGGCCTGTCCCGCCTTACTCAGAACGCCTGGTCACTCAAGGCTTTATGATAGCGAGTTTTCCATTAAATTTCCTTTACAAGAATCTTCCTCGGCAGCAACTTGACACATCGCTCCTTAAGTACACAACGATCAAGTGAATGAATGTGGGTTATACAATAAACGAAAAGCACTCCAAGTACAAATATAGCTAAGAATTTTGGAAAGACATTTCACAACCCTTTTAAGAAACACCTAGATCCAAAGGTTGTAGACCCAGAAAGTCTCAATAGATATGAGAAGAACGTCCATACCGTATTTACTCAAATAATGTACATACTCGCATAATGAACGCACCCCCACAACAGTTACCAATATTTTTACTTTTTTTTTTTTCCCTTGCGTAATGAATGCACCTTCAAATTTCGGCTCCGTCAGTCTTGAGCTGCGTCCAATTTAGCTAGCCACAAAGCCAATTTTCTTTTGCCGCCAAGCGGTCAGGCCAAGTCATGCCCAGCCAAGCCATTCTCGTAATGGCTGCAAGTGCGCCCGCCCCTGCCCCCCCCGCTTCCCCCCAAAACGGAATTCAGGGGGGCTATGTTGCACGTTTTGGACTCTTGGGAGACTAGGGAGAAGAAAGTGACGTGGGTGTGAATGAAGGTATCTTAGCAGCACCACGCAACGCGTCATCAGCGACTCCACCAATCAACATCCAAAGAGCGTTGTTAATGTCGCTTCCTTCTCCCTAGTCTCCTGGGAGTCCAAAACGTGCAACATAGCCCCCCTGGATCCACCCCTGCCCAGTCATTGGGTCTTCGTTTATAACAGGGGTGCACAACATACGGCCCGCAGGCCGCATGCGGCCCGGCTCAGCACAGAAATTCGCTTACTATGCAATTCTATCCATTAAGCGCCCGCTCCGCTTGGCAAGCAGCAGTGAAACCCTCTGACCTACTTCTCTGTCTTCGGCGAAGTAACTATGATTTCTCAATTCAAATTTTTCCCCCTTCCCTAATCCCGCTGAGAACGATAAAACAGCATGTGCAGCTGTCCCTGTCCATGGTGTGGATCTGTCTCAACATGTCTGTACACGGAACGCGAAAACTTGTTGCTCTCTCTCGAGAGATCCCTCTTTTACTACAGATGCTATCAACCCTCTTCCTTTTTGTTGGAATAGTTAGGGGTCGCATCATCGGATTGGAGGACTGTGATCCGACGATGAAATTGGAGCTTATCGACCTCCAGTGTTCACCGGTGCTGAAGACTATTCATCTCGAATTTCAGCTGCATGAGTTTTACAAAAGCCTGGACAAGAACAAGTACGGAAGCCTGGTTGACCACGCCTAGAAATCGTCGTCACATTTCGGGAGCATGTATGTCTGTAAGCAAACCTTTTCACTGATGACTCTGAACAAGAACCGCCCTCGATCTTCCATGACAGAGATGACATTGCGAGATGTGCTGAAGACGGCGACGAGCGAGATGACACAGAATATCGGAAGCCTGACCGCAGCCAAGATGTGCAGCACGTCGCACTAGGCGCGGCCCGCACAGTTTTCGATGAACAAATTTTGGCCCGCATAAATTTTTAGAAGTTGTGCACCCCTGGTTTATAATATTCAACCATCACTAGTCCGTTTGTGGCCTAATTTTGTGTTCACAAGTTTTTCTTCCAGCATTCATAAATACCAACATGATGGTCGAGGGCTATGCGGACCGCAAGTTCGTCTGCTTTCTTGCACGGGGGTTGCAATGATATGTCAGAACGCCGAGCTCTTTTTGGCCGATTAAAAAAAATAGTGAGTAGACCTCAAGGCATCAAGCATTGAGGTTCTACCCACTATCATTTCTAAGGCATCTAGCATTGAGGGTCTACCCACTATCATTTCAATCAAAGCCAATCAGAACTCGGCGTTGTTCTGACGTCACCGCACCTCCTGAGAAGCAGACGACTCGCTCTCTACCTACTTACCGGCACGATCTCGGCCTATTTTTCTGCCGCCTTTTGCCGTCGGCGTTGCCCTGAGCCGCGGTGTTGGCTTGGCACCCTTTCTCCGTCGGGCTTTTGCCTTCTTCATTAGGAGGGCCCCTTCGAAGTACCTCACCACTTAGTAACCGGAGGGTTTAGAATGAGCAGTTTACCGCCAGTACCCACTTACACCTCAGTCCGAAATTAGATAGACAAAGCGTCGAAATTACAGACGACGCAGTGGTGAACGCAGCACGTCTTCACTGCGCTCCGGCAGTGTGAGTGTACTCCTCGGGGAAGGTGCTACGAAGAAAAACGCACGGCACAAGCTGCCCGTTTGATTGTTGTGTGCAAAGTCCTCTGATCTGCTTGGAGCAGAGAACAATGTGGATCTGTGGATCCGCAGCAACAATTTGTCCTAAATTGACGGACTGCCTGCCCCCTTCCCTCATTCCTTCAAGTTCATGGTCGTGCACGGTTGGCACGGTCGTGCATGGCATGGTCGTGCACACATCCACATAAAAAGACAACAGCGCGCCAAGAAAAAAATTGCAAACAGGATTGGATTGTCTCCTTGTGGATCCAACCTTTTCTTTCCTGACGAACGTACAAAATGTTGAAACTATTTTTTTCTAACAAAAGCTTTACTATTAGAGTTTTTTACGATAAATATAAAGTAAAATAAAACAAAAACGATATAAATTTTAACTTAATTAATCATTTATAGACAAAAACGCATTGCTCAGTTGGCTTGGCTCAAGTCAATCGTTGGCTCAAGTCAACAGCGTGGTTCTACTTTCGTTATCGCAGTACGCGCTCGGCGCGAGCCGTCACTACACTTATTTCAAGTTACCGTAAATATATATATATATATATATATATATATATATATATTTTTTTTTTTTTTTTAATATTACAGGTGTAATTTCATGTTTTCAAAGTATGAAAAAAGACGGCGCATTTTGTTTTGCTACAGAGCCACGCATATTTTTAATTTAACTGCTCGAAACCGGAACATGATAGCGGGTTACATGATAGTGAAACCTGCACCTCTTACACCGGCGCTGAAAATTGTAGGCGCTTTCTTCTACCGGTGCAGGTAAATCGAACGAAATTGATGTGTACTGAGGAGGAGGGAGAAATGTATACTTTAACTATATAATCGCTACACCCAACTGCGTTTTTTTTTTTTGTGTATGTGTGTGTGAAGCAGGTGACGGCGACGATGAAGTTGCAACGACAGTTCCGAAGTAGCGGCCCCACATCCGCCGCAGCGTAGCTAGGTCCGTCCTGCGCCGCCATTGCGTCGTCTAGACCACGACCTACTCTATGCGGAGCGCAAGTTCGTCTGGTTCTTTTACAGGGGTTGTGGTGACGTCAGAAAGACGCCGAGGTCTGATTGGCTCTGAATGAAGGATAGTGGGTAGACCTCAAAGCAAGCTGCCTCGAGGTCTATTCACTATCCTTCAATCAGAGCCGCTTTGCGTTCTGTCGTCAACACAACCGCCGCAAAAGAAGCAGACGGACTTGCGTTCTGCATACTCTAAGTTGGTCGTGGTCCAGACCAACGGTTTAACCCATGGTTACACTTGAGCTGTGTGCGCGGCTGCTGGGCGCATGCTGACGGCTTTAATCTTCGGCAGTGCTTTTGCAACGTGCATTCCGCACCATCAAAATGACCGGTCTTAGCAGGCTATTAATGTGAGCTCGAGACTCGGCGTCCATAAATAAATACACGTAGTCCATCACAAATGTGTATGTGGTAGGGAGTATATAAACTTTCCCTCTATGTAAAAAAGAAAAAAAAATGTTTAAAGACGAAGGGACATTGACAGGGTATTTATGCTTGCCGAGGTTTTTATTTGTACATGATATATGGGAGCCCAACTACCCAGAAAACAACTCGCGGCTCGGAATTCGTTTTCTTTCCGCCCGAAAACTGCCGATCGAGAACTGGCCGGTTCGATTCGCGCTCACTCTCTTCTTCGTGGTCACGTGGCGACTCAATATAATCAATGTAGTGAATCATCAAAGGCACGCACACAATATTAAAAATAAAAAAAGGAACATAATACCTTTTTTATATGACTTTAAAAAAAGGTTCAGTTTCGGTTCAGAGCAGTTGCGTCTTTTTACTTTATTAAAAATATATGTGACGCTGTAGCAAAATATTCGTTGAGTAATCTTCTGACACAATAATAAATCGCCTGGCAAAAAACAAAAACAAAAAAAAAAACATTTTGGTGGGTGTCAGTGTATGCAAGATGCACACTGTGAAAGAAAATCGGCGTGGACGAAGCACACCGGACAAAAGAAGCTGACCGCTTTTACCAAGCGCGATTACTCCTGGATCACCGTCGGCAACTTCCTCAGTATTTGCCTCACTGGAGAGTGTACAACGGCGCGCGGCCTACGCTATCCTGCGTCGCCAATCACCACCGCAGCTGAAGCGATACAGAGACACTGGCACCCCCGAACTTCTTGGAAGTGTGGGGTGGAACTGCCTGTCTGTCCGTAGGCAGGTGGCTTCGCTCCGCCTCCTAGCCTGCACGCTGGGTGGCCCTCCTACACCCCTTCTAGAGTATGTGAGGAAGAACCGCGCCGACAAGCTACAACCCCTCCTTGGACGGACGGAGCGTCACAGAAGCACTCTTCTTCCGAGAACCATCGAGCTCTGGCGCTCCCTCTCGAGTGACGTCACACAAGGGACATTCGAAAGCAAAGAGGACATTAAAGAACTGTGCAAATGTGCATCCCTCTACCTCAAAGAACTGTGATGCGACACCAGTGACACTCAATCAGACCCAAATCCCAGTGCACAAACATTTCTTTCTTTCTTTTTTTTTGTATGTATGTGTGTATGTGTGTGTAGCGGGTACAGTGAGCCTCTATGGCATGGGCAATAGCCTTTTCACTGTCACCCGGGTTTTAGAAACCGAATAAAGCATTATTATTTTCTTAACTTTTGCTCGCTTGAGGTGGATCGCCATGCAAACGTAGTTCGTCGTGACCAGAGTTGGTTGGTTCATGTGCACTGTTTGTTAAACACTTGAAAACAGCGTATTAGCATGGCATTAATAGGTGAAACAAAATTTAAATATTACATTTGTTTCACTATGTCCGTGTCATTTTGGACGGGTTGACCAAATGGTTGACCGCAGTTTTGGGTAGTTCTCAAAATCGAAACTTGATGCGGCGCCACTTCGATGACGGCAGGTGGCGCTTCGGTCATAAGACGAGCGTCCTTGCTTATCCCGAGGCGAATTTACCCGATGAGAGCTTCGGAAACCGCGAATATACAGGGTAAGTGATACGTCTTGAACCCTTGTTTGCCAAGCATAAATTCTAAACATAAAAGACCAAATTTATGAGTATAAGACGGCCTTTCTCGAACTCCTCAATTCAACGCTAGAGTTTATATATTCTCAAGTACGGCGCGGGGCTGTTGGGCGCCATGTTGGATCGTATTCTGCGTTCGTCGGTGTAATTGTCTCTACTGCGTAGTCGGCGTAGCATTCTTTGAGATTGTTGTTCATTTTACCTTTGCTGCTTCTCTCGCGTGAACTTCGAATTCGGAAGTGTAGTGACCTTAATATTTCGAGAAATCGTAACTTTACCGTCTATTTCGCTGCCACGGAAGCGGCCCCGTTTCCTGGGTTCATTGTAGCTGTGCCCTTCCGAGATTTCGAATATTCTATAAAGAAATAAAGCTTCCGTTCAGTTATTTTTGTGTTTTTCTAACTCCGTAGCTTCTGCACTGTCTTTTGACCGCGTTGTCGTGCACAGACATGTTCAAGGACGCAGTTTTGTGAGAGCTAGGCGTTGGCTCTTCGTATCCAATGTGCTCGCAGCAACCGCCCTGTTGTTTTCGTTGAGAAAAAAAAATGGGGAAAAAAAGAAGTTTGTGTAGGTTTTTAGTTGAACGTTTTGCGTCCCTGTATGAAGTAAGGGGTGGGAAATTTCAGCCACAGGTTTGCGGTGGAGTTGTTCTGGCGGACCACGTGCGTCACTTTCGAACTATCTTTGATTTAGCAGCATTGGACAGGCATGTCGCTGTACAAATGTCACCTTAGACCATTTACATATTCGTGCTCCGCATTATACGAAGTACGGGTGGGGATTGGCGTCTAGCAAAATGTGTGACAGCTCCGGTTATCCTGGAATGTCTATATTTCTGGGCGTTTGCATACCTTCTAAGCTGAAATAAATGGTATTTCATGGCCTTGTGATCACAGCCTCACACTTCATAGCTTCTGGTGTATCGTGGGTGTTCTGTAATTCGCTGGACTGTGCTTGCTGTTTCGGACTAACCAAGCGCTAACGAATGGATATTACCATCGTTTTATTTGCATGGAGTATAGTTTCTTATCAAAAGCATTGGAAGGAGGCGCTGTTGCCAATTTACGGCCCCCCACTAACTTCGGGTCAAGTCGGACCAACAGCCTCCATCGTAGCACCACTTATTGCAATGTTCATGAAATATTTTATCACCAGCTGTCCAGGTGATTAGCTAAAAGGCCGGTTAGCGAAAGACTAGTTGGGGATTTTTTTATACTCCTGTAAGATTACCGATTCCCTCTTACCTGTTTTACAGCACAATATATAGACCTCGCTAGATCTCATACTTTGTGATTTCTGTAGAACTTCACCAACCCAGAAATTTCGACATCAACAGGTTCGGAAAGCCTGCTGAAACGGAGCGACTGGAATTCTCTCAAGGGGGGGGGGGGGGGGCGAAGGCGAAGGAAGGGGGGTGCATGCAAGGGCAAGACATGGCTTGTGTTTCTAAACAGTAAAAGGGTCTACAGTGTGGCCACAAGGGATCTTGCGCGGTACAGTGAACCGGAAAAATCGGCGCATGCACGTGGAAAGTTTGAACTTTCATTGATTGTGCATATAGGTGGCAAATTTTACGTTGCAGAATTTCGAAGTGTAGTTTTCTTCCTGTAAAAAATGAGCCTAACAAACTTGCCAAGGTCAGTGGCAACCATGTTTGCAGATGATTGAGTTAGTGATGAATGTAGCTCGTGGCGCCATCCTCCAATGTGGAGCGCAAGTTCATATGCTTCTTTAGCAGGGGTTGCAATGACATTGGAGCACCAAGCTCTGATTGAAAGATGATAGGTAGACATCAAGGCAGCTTGCTTTGTGCTCTACCCACTATTTTTCAATAAGCCAATCGGAGCTTGGCTTTCCGACATCACCGCAACCTCCGCAAAAGAAGCGCACGCACCTGCAGTTTGCATAGGTGCAGCGAGCAGACACGATTTGTTGGCTGCTAGCTGCACCTAGCGGGAGATGGCGCCGCAGGTTATGTCCGTCACTAACTTGGTCGTCTGCGAACCCGTCCGCCTTTGACCTTGGGCTAGTTTGTTGGTGTTGGTCGTAAATGCTGAATGTGCACTGAATGTGCACCTAAATGCACATTCGGTGGAAGTTGGAGCTTTCTATGCGCAAGTGCCGATTTTTCCTCCTCTTATAACGTAAGATCCACTGTGGCCTCCTTAAAACTTTTTGGTTCTAGTGAAGTATATAGTAAATAAAGTTTTAAAAATAAACTCGTCCCAACTACAACGTCTTCCCCAAAAAATGTAGTGTTTTTTTGATAGCAAAAATGGACTACGCATCGTCGAATGCTCCTTCTCCGGTCGAATGTAGCCCTGGCGGTCTGAACCAGATGCCAAAGTTTCCGCACTAAATGTTATTTTATTCAAAAGTTATAAGTTATTTTTTGGAAATTTCAATAGAAAAATGGGGTCAATTCTGGCCCATTCAATTTTGGCCCGTTTTAGCTAACTGGCGCCATAGAGGTCCCTGCATTCGAAAGATCTGTCGGCCACCATTTTCCCACTGAATATTTCTGAAAATCGTGCGTAACTTTTAAATAAAATAATGATTGCTGCTGAAACTTTGGCATTTGGGCATAGAATGAGCATTCGGGGATGTATAGTTCATTTTTACGATGCAAAAGGCCCTGTAAAGGTTTTTTTGGGATACCTCGTACATTGCTCCACAATTGGCCCAGAACAGTTCTTGCAGTTCTACAACTCACCGCTGCTTCCACAGCATGTAAAACCTCCCAACCTTTTGGAGGCGAACATTACCGGCAAGCTTCAAACATTGTCCGAGGTTCAAACTTAGCTAAATCAATCATTTGAATGTTTTAGCTTCTTGAAGAGAGCAGTGGAAACAGCTCTCTTGGTGGACGACTTCTTTCTTGAGCCATGCGTGTAAGTTAAAGAAAATCAGCCTTGAGGCCACGGGACATCATTGGATCTTTTGAGATTCTTTTTAACACATTCAGTAGTGCGTTTGAAGCATCTTGTGTTTAGCGGATCTTTTCTTTTATGTTTTTTTCTCCAGTAGGCAGCATGCGTGTGTGCAGAACTTTTTTCAGGGTAGAAAATCACGTTTAAGTTTGGTTGTGAAAAGAAGAAAGGATAATAGTGAGGGAAATATTTTAAGTGCATCATTAAAAAAATAAAAGACGTTTACAATTCCCTGTAATGCTGAATTAGAGTGCAGCTCTTGAGGAGGAGGAGGGGAGGGTATGGGGAGGAGGGTACGCCCCTCTCCTCTTACCCTCCTCCTCATCTTCCTCTCCCTTCCTCCCTCCTCCCTCGTTACGTCACACGTGACCATCGGGACTTCACTCGTAAAGGCCTCGTGAAGGTCACGACCTTCACGAGTGACCTTCGGGGCGTCGCACGTGATGTCATCATGGGAAACGTCCCATAATGACGTCACAGCCATCAAGGACTCCGCCACATTTCGCGAAGTGATTCAGCAATGCTGTTATACCCACTCCCCTCTCTAATGCCTCCCAGCCTATAGGGTATTGTAAATAAATAAATAAATAATACAATGCGCAGTTATGCCGACGGCGCTGCCACTCAAGCTGGAAATGGGCGCCTAAGAGCTGCGCTCTAAAACAAAACAAAAAATTGCAATGAATTTGGGGCTTTGTTGCCTAAGCATGCCGTCACGTCGCACAGATTATAAGCAATGTCTCGGACTTCTTTCAGTACAATAACCAACAAGCCCTTGCTAAAATACGGACAACTTGAGTTGGGACAGTAACCGTGCCAGTATATATAGTGTGTGGAAGGTGTGATTTGGAAATGACCTGTGTCAAGGCAGTACTACCTAGAAAACAGGGCCTACGCCTTTCCTCTTCTGACGTAATCACCATGGTCCCTGACAGGATTAGAATGGCAGGGAGGTCTTTCACTAGTCCCACCTGTGTGCATGTGCATCCAAAGCATGATGGAAGGCAACAAGTGCATGCTGGAGGTCAGCCATTGGAAAGAGACTTCCCGCTGTTTTCATCCAACATTATTGGATCAATCACTTGATGAGCTCCACGGAAGAGCAACGTTCAAAAACGGTCCTCCTTGGCATTGGCGGAAAGTTTTTAGTTTCCCAAGGGTGGGGGGTTTCACAAGCCAATAAAGTCGGGCTAATGGCTAGGCGGGTTCAGTTCACACACCAAATCGATGGATAAGCAATGAATAGCGAAGGTTGTTTTTACTGTCGTATGCATGATCAGAATTTGTTAGACATCCAAGTTTTTTTTCTTGCCGCACCCTCCTTGAATGAACCGCGAGATTTAAGCTAGAAATTCTCCATGGACACTAGCTACAAAACATGACTGTCCACCTTGCATTCTTATGTCAATATGTTTACGAAAGCTCGTACAATTGCGTATCCTAGAACTCCTTAGCCATATAGCATTAAATCATTAATAAAACAAAGAGGCCGCATCTCCACGTGGTGAATGATGTTGATTGGGGGGAAGCTCTGATGGTGCTGATGATACTGATTTTATTGTTCATAGGTAGTGCTGATGGTGCTGATTTTTTTTTTATTGCTCATAGCTAGTGCTGAGTTCCGGGTTGCGTTTCGACTTCATTATTACTGCTTTATGGTCGGTGAAATGCAGAGAAAGTGGTTCTTCTAGCGAATCAGCTTGGATCCGCTAGAAGCCGTGGGAACGCATCTCCGCCACTTCAACGGTCCATGTCAGAAAGAGAATGTGTGGTATGGATCGTGGTTATATACGCAGTTGAGCATTTGACCGCAGCGCCCTCTCATCTATAAACGTTGAGCCAATGCATGCAAAGTTTAATGCGATTATATACGCATTTGACTGCAGCGCTCTCTCCTCTATTGACTTTGAGCGGCTACATGCAACGTTGGAGTGTAGCGTAGTGGTTAAGACGTCTGCTTCGTAAGCGAGCGGTCCTGAGTTCGAACGCCCGTGCAGGCATACTTTTTTTTTTTTTTAAAGTGGGCCGATCTCGGAGGCAGTGCAATCGATGTGAGCACGGACGCCGGATGGATGGACAAGGCTAGACCCTAAGGAGCTTTCCCCCTAAAAATTGGAGCCTCAGTCCAGCGAGCTAAAGTGCCAATTGCAGTGATGCGATTGCTGGGCCATTTGCACCAAGGTGCTGACCCTGCTACATCCTGCTGCATTTTGCCAAAATGTGGTGATTTTGCGCCAGCATTGTGCCAAGATGTAATTTCTCTTTATTACTACTGAAAATATAATAGCTACACGTCCGGATCGACACGGTAGGCTTGTTCACATTTTGAAAACCTGTTTATTGCCTTAACTGACATACTGCTCGATCTGATATCTGTGTCAAACGCTGACTACTTGGAAGTTGCTCAATATTTCTCATGTTCGTGGTCTGTTCTGGTGGGTTAGGTAGCTTCATTGAGTGCACTTCTCACTGCGCTCTGGTACACTGCAGTGAAGCGGGAGCCACAGTGTGGGCATAGCGATTTTACGTATCTGGCTTTGCTGCAGCACAGCCTCGTGCTAGGGGGAAAGCACTCCTCGAAAACAAAAGTGCTTTAAAGGGATGTTGAGCCGAAATTAGGATTAAAAAAAAAAAACGATGCAGGAGATGTAGGCGGGACACTACAATCCCTACGACACTACTCGTATGGCGATATCTTGAATGGACAGCCATATTTTTGGAAAAAGAGGCCGAGATTGAACGAGGCAGACGAGGCGCGTGACGTCAACATATCTTGTTTCCTCCTCTCTTCGCTTCGCCTCCTCAAAGTGGCGAGGCGGGGAAGATGTGAGGCCGTTCCCTCTCCTTCTCGAAGAAAAAAGACGTAAACATATCTGTCAAATGTGATGCCTTCTTTTGAAAAATATGGCCATCCGTTGAAATATCGTTGTATGAATGATGTCTTTGTGTTTGTAACATCCCGTTGCATGCTTTTGCCGTCGTGTTTTGTGGAATCCAGATTTCCGTTCAAAGGGATGCTGAACCGAAATCTGGATTCCCCAAAACACACGGCAAAAGCGTGCAACGGGATGCTACAAACACTAAAACAACACTCCTACAGCGATATCTCGAACGGATGACCGTATTTCTAAAAAAAAGAGGCACATTTGGCAGGAATGTTGACATCATGTTTTTCCGAGAAGGAGAGGGAACGGCCTTGCGTCTTCTCTGCCACGCGGCCTTGAAGCGAAGCGAAGAGAGGAGGAAACTAGATATCTTGATGTCACGCGCCTCGTCGGCCTGGTTCAATCTCGACTTCTTTTTCAAAAAATATGGCCGTCCATTTGAGATATCGCCTTACTAGTAGTGTTGTAGGGATTGTAGCATCCCACCTACATATCCAGCATTGTTTTTTTTTTTTAATCCAAATTTCGGTTAACCATTTCTTTAAGTGTAAAAAAAAAAATCTTAGTAAGTGCTTTACTTTGCAGTAAAAAGCCCTGCATAAGACTGCATGAGACTGCAATATTTGAATGTTTTTTTTAACTTGATAATTAGCAAGGATTCTTTTGTGTTGCGAGGAGATTTCAGGGTGAAAACTGAGAATTCCCAGGGGATTTTTGGCGAGTCTGGGAAGGTCAGAAAAAAGTCGGGGAATTTCTACCCAAATTTAGTATCTGTCAGGGAAATTAAGCTTTTCTGTCTCCGAGGAACTACAAACAATGCGTTTGTGGTACAGCACAGATCGCATGCGACCCGACTGGTGTGCTGATGCAAATTTCTTTTTGGAAACTAGAGCCTTGGTGGAACTCGAATTGCATCTTTTTGATATGTGCTGATCAAGACAAACTTCTCTCCTTGGTCATGCACTAATATGTTTGCCCAGTAGTTTATTTAAAACAGGGCATTTATTCAGCAAGATACGTAGAAGAATACACTGGGGAGGCAATAGTATACGGCGCTTTGCCACCGCCCTGTTGGCCGTCAAATATACCTCTCTTTTCCACATAAAAACTACAGTTCATACATGTCGTGTCTCCTTAGGGATTGGTCAGGAAATATTTATAAAATAGTCGGGGAAAACCTGTAAAGGTGAGAGAATTTGAAAGCATAATTTTGGCAGACGCAATATGGACGGCTTATATTTTTATGTAAACTCTTTATTTAGTCATCACCCTTACATAGGTGCGACCGTGACGCAGTGAATGGAGTAAATGAAAACTAATTAAATTAGCTGCAGCAGAGGATGCAAACTCGGAAATTACCCCAATGAGTTTGACTGAATTGTTTCTAAGGCTTGTTTATCGTTGACATGCCGTTTTATTGTGATAACGAAATCTACGTATAAAATGTAATTGGTATCATTATCCAAATGAGAGGAGCTTTTCTATCGGAATTAATAATTTCAGTTTTGTTACAACCTTTAGGACTTCAATGAAACATCAATTTGGGTACTCAATATTATTCTGCTCTATTATTATTTTCGCAGAATACAATTTGGTTTGCGTTTGGCTCTATTTCTAAAATGACCATTCACTGTAGTTCATACGGTACTTCATCAATCAGCATATTGTTGTCATGTCTGGTGCTTCATTGTGCAACTAAACAGCTAGTTAGCTCTGTGTTTGAGGCATTTGGGGGAATCAAACCTTCAGTGCAATCAATGCTAACAAAAGGCTGTACAGAAATGAGAAGGCAAAGTAGACAATGCCTTTTAAAGGGATACTTCAACGAAATTTGAAGTATGCCCGTCGTGTTCGGAAATAGGTTGAATATGGTCTAGAATATCCGTAAATGACAATCGCACGTTTGTATTTTGAGCCTGATGGCTGTATATTTCGTTATAAAAGCCCGCTCTGGTGAGCGCTCGGAGAGCAGCCAGCAGAGAGCATGTCACATACGGTGCAATCGTGATGTCGTTTTTCTCAGGATGAACAAAGCTGCGGTGAGGCTGATGTCAGGATGCCTTAGCCGTTCCAGTCACCGAAGCGGTTGAGCACGCCAGTGATTGGGCCACCGCGACTAACCGCAAAGATGCTTTTGTGTGAATTTTGAGTGACGAGTTATTCTTCCATAATCTTGTAGAGGGAGAATAGCGATGTCTGAGACACACAGAAAGAGTCACGTTGAGTGGGGAGTTCCTCCCTCCCCTCTCCTCTTGTGCTGGCCGCACAGCTGTCTGGGTGACGTCAGGTTCAAAGCATGTATAGTTCTAGGCGAGACAGTTATCATCACTACGTGTCGAGGTTCCGAAACGGGCATTAAAAACGAGGCTTTAGCAACATCCGCCAGGTGCTCTTTGCTAATCGTTTGTTTTAAAATTTGTTTTCATGTCTTTTTTAACAAGATATTGGTACTGCTGCTTTGAACACGTATAGACCAAAAAATAGATGCTGAAATTTCGTTGTAGTATCCCTTTAATGTATAGTAATATTCGCAGTGGTAGGAAAGAAAATGAAGTGTATGCTTATGCTCCACAAGTTACTTTTGCTGCTCCAAAATGAATTTTTAGGTGCTCCTAAAAGTGCTCCAAACTTACTCAGACCAATCGCATCGCCGCATGTGTAGCGATCACGCTGCTGAAGATATGTTATGGCGTAGATCTATAACAAACCTCTAGCATCTTTTAGATGGCAACCGGTTTGGGGGAAGGGGCTTTTTTTTTTTTAACAGAAACAGAGTTGAGGTTTGAAATAATACCAGTTCAGACTTTCCTCTAGTACTCTTGATTGTATCTTACTAAGAGTGCTTGAGATTGGGCTAGTTGGGTTTTCACATTTCAATTAAACTGTGCTGCAAAGGATTACAAATAACAACACTGGGACTAGAAAGATGACAGCACACATACAAATAAGCGCAACTCATTTGTGTATGTTGCATAGTCTTTCTAGTCTTGGCGTCGTTACTCGTAATCCTTCACAACTCAGTAAAATTGAAGCTGTAACTTATTATGTCTACAGGGAGTTTTCTGAGGTTGATTTTATGCCATAACGAACATTTGGGGCACAGTACCGAGCTCAGTATCGACGCCGTTGTTCGTACCGTCCAGAGTACCGGCGGCACCGACGACGGGCGCAGTGCCCCTGAGCGACGATGTCGTCCGCCACGACCGCGGCGGAAGAAGGCGAAGGGGCACCGGAAGAAAGCCAAGGGATGGCACGGCTCGAGTTTTCCGCTGAGGGCGTTCCGGCCCTGGTTGACGGCGGAGTGGTGCTGGACAATCCGGCGCTCATGGAGTTCTTCGCGCGCGCCGTGGCGTCTTACAGCATCCCTGGGCAAGACGGCATCCAATCGGGTAAGTCATGACGGAACCTTTCGTCGTTACGTCGGTTCTACCCATGGCGCCTGGAAAGCGTCTCCTCCGACCGGTACATTTACCGCGTCCTCAAATGTGGTCCCTCGATTTCCACTCAATGATGTCGTAGAAGTGTCGCGTTGTTGCCATCCGCGATCCTGCTGGCGACGCGGTGGCGGAGGTGGAACGGATATCTGTTTCTGTTCTGCCGCAGGTCGTACCCCCGCTTAACGGTTCGCGTGAGCTTCAGCGGTCAAGAGTCGGGACGATGCGACGACGGCAACAGTCGCATTTGCTTGTACTTTTCAGCGGAACTTTTATGACCATAAAGATCTCTCTCCGCGAAGCTTGACTTTTTAATATTTGAGGACGGCTCCAATGTGGAGTTTTCCGGTCTTTCCTGATTTTGAGAAAACCGGCCAGGGGGTCACTTTTGAGGGCCTGTTGGTGTGCATACAGAAAACACGGGACCCTGCTTATCATCCGGCAAGGGCACATTGCATTGTAGATGTCACGCAACCGCCAACTCTATCACATTCCAAGATCCCCGTGCGGTCCAAGTCTATTCCTGCTACTCCTCCGGCAAACGCCATTGGCCCCACGTTTGTCGGGCACATACTCCGAAAATATTTTAGTTAAAATCTTTTTCGGCGTTCCCCTAGAGAGTTTCGGAAAACAGATTCAAGACACACAAAACCTGCTTGCACCTTAAAGACTGGTTGACACACTTGCACTTGAATGCTCAGGTGTGCAGCATTTCCTCGTAACTGCTTACGAGCGAAGACACCGGCACCGTCTAGCAGGCAGCGCTGGAACTGCGTACACCTAGACTATTTTGCAGTATCTGTGATATTAAATCTATGCAGTACGAGAAATAGTTGCTTATAGCATTGCAAGTTTACAGCAAAAAATAATGCATAAAAGCTTATAAAAAAATATATGCCGATTGAAAAGGCTATTCATCGCACCAGCATGCCGGGTGGTTACAAGAAAACGCAACACGTGCGAGTGCAGCCAGATGCTAATGTGCGAACTGGCCCTTAGTCTTCGAGTTCCTTTGGCTGTCGCTTTACTCGTTTGTCCATCATCCCTGTAGGGACGCTGGTGCAGATCAATTCCAACACCATCCTTGCGGTGGCATCCGTGGACGGCGGTGGGCCCACCGAGGAAGAGATCATCGAGGCCGCTTCGACGGTGATGCTGCCTTCGGTCGAGGAGCAGACGGCAATCGACGCAGGGCCGGCAGATGACGTCCCAGCCAATACCTCCCAGCAGCCGGAGACAACGATCGACGCGGGGCCGGCGGATGACGTCTCTGCGGACGCCGACACCGACTGCGTGGAAGGAACGGTTCCAAGCGAGCAGACGGCGGCTCCCGTGGCCACACCAGACGACATCCACATTGCACGTACGTCGTCTTTTAACGCGGAATGCATCGTATGGCTGGCTCCTAGCCCTTTCTCGTAACGGAAGGTCGAGCTATGTGGTGGAGTTTTGACTCCCCTTTCACAACCCAGTGTGGGGAAGACTTTCCAGCCACTGCAGTGACCAACTTGGCCTCGAGTAGGGGACGGTAGATCAGTATTTGGGTAACCGAGCAGCGGCATCAAGTTTGAAGATCGCTCTACTTTTACTCCTTGAGGACAGTTAACGCATCTGCGTTACGGTTCTCCTAAGCGCGTTCTTTGTAACCGTTAGGAAGTAACCCTGGAACACCGTGTATATATATTCTAATTTTCGATACATCACTCATTGACCATTAGCTCGAAATGATTATGACAAAGTTATAAGCAACCATTTGTCATAGATAGTGTGTACGTTTGACCTTGCAAATCCTAAAAATCTTCAGTCTAGCGGTACATGGTTTTGATGCTTCCCGATAGATGGTGCCAATGTGTCAGTAGTGTGTTCTCTAGTCATAAACATTTACGAGGAATGCAACGCTTTCGACCGTGCTCGTATGCAAATGTGCAAACCAGCTTTTGGACTCCAGCATTTCTGACAATTCTCGCCAACGTTTGACGTGCAGCAAACATGACTGAGATGGATTTTTCCAACCTCCTGAGCGGAAGCGAAGAGGCGGGATCCGGCGTGCCATCCACCGTCGTGGTCAGATCCTCAGACCCGATGCAACCACCGGAGCAGATAGAACACCGAGTGATCCACGTCACCCTGACCGCCGAAGACGTGGAAGGACGTCCGCACGCTGCCATCACTCACGAGGACGAACCATGCGTGGAGCCTGTACAAAACATCGACCACGATGTGACCGACGTGATCCAAAGGGCTCTCCTCGGAGGCGACGAAGACGAGGACGTTGGTCCGAGCAATGCCGGTAATCCAGTGGAGGGAGTGCACGGAGGAAGTGGATCTGAAATTGACGGAACAGACGCCGGATGTTCCGCTGATGCGTCTCTTCTGGAGGAAGCTGCAGGTAAGCTTACGACCCGATTGAATGGCCCTTTGGTTTAACGAAACTACGTCCGTTGTTGGTCTCGCTCCAGAAGCTGTGCCTGTCCGTCCGTTTTTACAGAAGTACTGGTTTCAACCTGACGTTTTCTTTTGTGTAACATGAACCCCCAACGACTCCATAATGTGAGATCCGAGAAAAGCTTGTAATTGAGAAAGCCCATCGTGACGTAACTGGGCTCCTTGGCTTTTGGGGTAGAGCCCGATGTTATTTCATTATATTCCGAATTATCTTTTTCATATAATTTCTTTCGAGGTTTGTTCTCAAAGAAGTGGAATCGACGATTGGCTGAACTCCTTCCACAAATTTCGAGAGGGGATGAAAACCAACTCTAAAGTTGGTTTTCATCCCCTTTTCAGAACACAGCTTCAGAAAAGAAAGAGCAATAAGTGTCCTAGGTACTAAATAGCAGCTTCGATTGGGTAAATCCCTATGCGGAGAGCAAGTCGTCTGCTTCTTGCGGTGACATAAGAAGGACGCCGAGTTCTGATTGGCTTTGGTTAAAAAGGATAGTGGGTAGACCTCAATGTTAGAGGCCTTGAGGTCTACCTACTATTTTTTTCAATCAGCCAATTAGTGCTCGGCGTCTTGACATCCTCGCAACCCCTGTGCAAGAAGCAGACGAACTTGCGCTCCGTATCGTCACTGACAGATTGAAAATGGCAGGAAGTGTCTTTGAAACGCCCGGCCTCTAGCACGTGCCCCACGCCTTCTGCAATGCTCTGGCTGCACGCACACTGAAGGCGCACGAGGGTCAGAAGCGTTCTTAAAGATGGGAAGCTCGTGCTGCATGCGGTACAACTAAACAACTAAAGCCCCTCCCTGCATTTCACGCCTTGTCAGTAACTGAAAGAGGAATACACTTTTCCTAAATTCTATAGTAAGAATAAAGTATAGATTGGCTCATCTCTGAATATTGGTGGTGCGAATTGACCATCGTTTTCCGAACATGAATTTGAAACGGAAATCTTTCCACCAAATTTTTGAATTTACGAAGCCTGAAAGAGCAGGGCGGAGAAAGAAGGCAAACGACGGGCTAGTAGGTGTGCTCGTTTCGCTGCGACGAGTCGAGGTCGTTCGAGCGCTCGTCGGCTTTATATATTTTGTACATTGTACGACGCTTTCCAGAAAGGGCCGAAATACTTGGAACCTTTCCCTCTAGATTATCAGATTCGCTCTAAGCCGCTTGCAAAGCGCGAGTCGTTCGTCTCCTGCTGCAGTGGATCCCGACGAGCGTCAGCGGCTCGAAGAGGAGAGCCAGTCTGGCAACGGCGTGGGCCAGGAGCCTCCGCCGCCGGGGCAGGGGGGCCAGGACGTGGTGGTGATTGACGTGACGAACCCGATCCAGCTCTCCCAGAATTCCCTGATCGTAGTGAATGGCCAGAAGTGCGTGCTGCAACAGGACCCCAGCACGGGACAGGTGGTAGCCTACCCAATCAGGGAGCCCGAGAAGCCCAAGAAGCGCAGGGGAAGGCCCAGGTAACGTCCGAGGGCCTCGAATGAGAGAGTCCTCGATTACAATCACGTAATTTAAGGGCGCTGTTAAGAAGAGATGCGGGTTGAAAAACGGCAATATTTTGTAGAAATAATGAGTTTTATGTTTTTTTATTAACTTAAAATCTTCATATTTTATATACGAAAACGATAAGGACTGGCTATAATCACAAAATTGGTCAAATACGCATTTGTAGAACTCCGAGCAACCCAGAACGCCACATATTTTATCAATTTTCGTGTAGCCTGAATGACGTCGCCCACCATCACATTTATGTAGAGAAGTAGCCCTAGCCATCTCCTCTCCATCGCAATCTTTTGTAGCTTCATTTTCTCACGAAAAAGTAATAACAAGAAATTCTTTCTCCCGCCGCGAAAGTGTGCCGCTACACATCTATGGTAATATTGGAACGCGTTCTCGTCTTTGTGTAATTTTGAAGCACCTTCACAGTTTGTGCACAATAATTTTTGTTCCTAATTTTGTCCCATCACAACAATATTTTTCATGCATATGCTTTAGGTTATGTGGAATGCAACTATCAAGGTTTGTTTAGAATGTATCTTTTTAAATTTAATAAAAATTTAAGAAACTTTTGTTAGCCCTTTGAAAATAACATTTTTGCAATTTTCAATTACTTTAAAATAAAATAGGTTTCAGACATTACCTTCGTTGTTCATTGCACTCATTGGCTCAAAAGGAGCAAATTGCTTATTTTACTAGGCTCTTTTAAAGGGACACTGACAGGGTATTTATGCTTACCAAAGTTTTTATTTGTACATGGCATATGAGAGCCAAACTACACAGAACACAATTTTTGGCTTGAAATTCGTTTCTTTCTGCCTGAAAACCGCCGATCAAGAACTTGCCGGTTTGAGTCTTGCTCACTCTCTTCTCCCTGGTCACGTGCCACTCTCTATCTTTTAGACACAACCACCAAATATAATCAGTCGTTGGTGATCGATGGCACACACTCAATATTAGAAATAAAAAAAAAACAAACATTGATACCTATTTTTTTCTGCTTTCTAAAAAAAACAGCAAAACGTCCATAATGTGAGCTGCTCATAATATGAGACAAAAGGTGCAAGTGTTTACCCAGTTCGTTGCCCAAAACTTTGCCTATATAGCGGGCTAATCATATATTACCGTGGTTTGTAGCGACGACGAGACGTCACTGTATTGATGCATTTTTTTTTATTTTTTTATTCTTGCGGAACAGAAAGGTGGTCCAGGACCCACCGGCCGAACCGGAGCCAGCGCCCGCTCCCGCAGTCGAAGAACCGGAGGAAGTTGAAGAGGAGGAAGAGCAGAGCCTCAACAAGCTGGGAGTGGGAACGGTTGAAATCGTCACCGAAGGTGGGTGGGCGTCCCACCATATTCAGCCACTAAATCGTAACTAGGGTTCCTTGTTTTTGGCGAATACCTCTAAACCCCCAAAATTAACCCCCGAGCCAGTTTTATCAAAATGGGAGAAAAACCAAAAAGCCCCGAATAGGAGCTGTTCGCAGATATGAAAACAAACCAAGCTATGTGGCAAGAAAATTTTTATTTACAGGTTTATTTTGTTTTAACTCTGAACACAGCCTGCAGGGAGGTGTCTGTGAGCTCTCGTCTTGCTTCGGAACCACACATCTTATCTCGTTTCTTTCAACACGAAACATTCCTTAGCTAGGTGTTCGGCATTTTGTGAAGCCCGGATAAAAGCGTGGCCGCGAGGCTCGATGCTGATTGGTGGACGGGTGCGAGAGGAGTTGGGTGCTCGGTGCGGATCGGTTAACGGGGTAGTTGCGTGACCTGAGGGGAGGGCAAGGAGCTTCTCGACCACCCGTGCCCACCGAGGGAGAGGAGCTCAAAAGTATGGAAGGCTCTGGAAGATTGCCATGTTTATTGTCCCGATTAGCGGTAGTATCGCTTTATTCTAGGAACAACTATCAAGCGTGCACGTGGTACACATTAAACTGTCTGATAAAGAGTGCCGTGACCGTAGACGTCTGGAAACTCGGAGTATCGCTAAACGTTTGTGATGCTAGAGCATTTCAGGTTTGCAACCCAATTGTCTATCAATTTTCTATAAATTTTTCCTAACGAGAAAAACAACCTTTCCTAGGAAAAAAATTCCAACTAATACAGCCCGACGAGAAATCACTGAACATTTATATTCTTTGCACTGCTTTACATTTGCACGCTCCGATTCTTCACAACTTTCGTCAGTTGACGAGTGCTTATCGCTGTCCTTGTTTTGCTACGCTTCGTCTTGTGTGCTGTCAATCGCGTTGCCGATGCTGCGCTTGCGGTATGTCTTGCGCACCACTTTGTCCGGGAGCGACTTCTACGCCGGTGTGAAGCGGCAGTCGTTGCAAGCGGCCAGTGGGTGTCAGATTGCCGTCTTTTCACTTGAAAGCTTTCTTAGACTAGCGTTTGCTTCCGCTCATTCTTGCTCAGGGAGCAGCAGTGACCATGGCAGTCCGAAAAATAGGAGTAGCTCAAGGAAATAAAAATTGGCGGCATCAGGCACCCATAGTTGTCACTTTTGTTTTTTTCCAAAGACTGGTATGCGAGACGAAGGTAAAAGTTTTCAAGAGCATTTACAAAAAAAAACAATTCTATGTATATTCTGGTTAATAGGGTAGGTCCCAGCAAACCCATACTTTTAATTGAACACCAAAATGTGATACCGAAAAACACCTAATCTGTGTGAAAAAATAAACCCTGAAAGCACCCCCCCTGTATTTGAAGAAACATAAACCTTGAAAACACAAAACCCTAGTTATAACCTCCATACAGCATAATCTGATTTATGGGACAACGGAGCCGTGTTTCTGTGGTGCTTTGCTGCGGACTACAGTCAAACCTTATTTTAATGAAGTAGCGGCTATAACGAAAGAGCTGCGATTCCGCTTGAAACCTCCCGTAGAACTCCATGTACTATTTAGAAACACGTTTTAACGAAAGTAAATGAATGCTTTATTGGATATGACGACCTGTTTTCATTCCGAAGTGAAAATAACATGGCGACATTGCTGTAAATGCAAATTTTTTGCCACATGCCGAATCTGCAAGCACCGTCGACATTATTCAGGCCATAGCACTTCGGCCACTCAAGTGTTCATGTCGGCATTGGCTTACCAGTAGGTGTGCGATGACTGCGGTCACGGTTAAATATGGCTATAACGAGACAATGGTTGTAACGAAAAAATTTCGGCGCCCCTTCAATTTCATTAAAACAATGTTTGATTGTGTTTTGAAGCACTGTAGCATCTCAAGATTTCTCCTATGAAGGCCATATTCCGCCAAATTAATTGGGACAAACCCTATACAGAGTAACTATAAGCACGAAAGGTAAGCACCTTTTTAATCAATATACACGTCGCTGTTGAGCCAGACGAGATCACACGCTATGCAGATGACCCGGACAGAATGCGTTTGGATGTACTAGACTTAAGACCCTTTTTTACATTTTTTTGTGTCTGCATGAGGCATATGTTATCAGCAAAAAGAATTAAATTGGATGTTGTAACTCATCATCATCATCATCATAAGTTTATATTTTGTGTGCTCACAAACATCTAAATTGACTCTACTTATTTATAGAGAGAGAGGTCGATCTGCACCTTGACATGCGGCGACGCTAGTTCGATGCCACGGACAAACTGTATAGCCCTTAAGGTGCAACTGCCGACCCGAAATATTCAACGTCCGTCGCTCAGCGGCTGTAGCACGGTCACGGACGGCTAAAGTGCTTGTCCAGATTTAAAAATGCCGGGGGCTTATATTGAACCCGAGAGCGATCCCTGGGTTTCCCAGCACAAGCTTTTGCTTCATGCCGTCCGAGCAACGTTGCACCAACACGCTCGGCCACCGACTCCCCCAAGCAGACGGCCGAGTATATTGAGTGCGGTTTCTCTGTTTTTCAGACGGAGCGCTGGTGCGCAGGAGTTGCAGGCAGAGGCGGAAAGCCAAGAGCATGAAAGGTGGGTGCCTGGGCAAAGCTTGTATTTTGAGGCTCATTTGCAGATCTGCGGCTGAGTGTGACGAGGCTCATCCGTACACTCGCATTTGCTTACGGCAGAGTTTTCGCAGTCTCTTACTACGACAGCGTGTGCCAACGGCATCTATGAGGTGACCCAGGAACTGCATTTCACTAGAGCGAAAGTTTTGCGGTATTCGCAAGATCAGATGTGCATACTACTTGCGAAAAATGGTTCTTCATAACAGGGAGTTTTAGAACAACGTATGCAATTTTAGCTCACGCTAGCGCTAAATTTAGCGCTTGCGTTAGCGCACGCTATGCTAGCGAGTTTTAGAATAGCGTTTCTCGATCGCGACACAAAATCCCAAGCATCTCGTGCTTGCAATGCCATCAAGATACAGTCACAATTTTTATTTCACACACGAGATGCTGTAACTTGAGAAAGATAAGTTTTTTGGTCCAGAGTAACATTTTAGATTTGTTTAAACATGAGAATGCGACGCGTGGTCGACCGGTCGTGTCCGCTTGCGTCGCCTCAGCAAGAGAGGTCTCGTGCACTGACCTTCGCACATCGTACTTTCGCCAAGAAATGTTTGTGCGTTGCAAGCATCAAGTTTCCGGTGATCTTTGCGCACCTTGCTTGATTTACCAAACCGAGTGCAGTGCCGTCCAATCCTGAAAATCACAGTTGCAAGCATGCTGTCGACGTCGCCTTCATGACACCGCCAAAGCGGCCGCAGCTGTGGTCCTGGGAGCCGCCATCCTTTAACTGTGCTCGTCTTGGCTTTAGCCAACTTCTGATCATGAATCCTCCTTGGAGGAGCGCAAAGACTCTTTGCGTATGCATGTAATTTTCGAAAAATAGCGCATGTGAAGTGCAAGATGGGGTCAGCTTTCAGTGCATGTGCAGTGGCGACGACGCTATTCTTTGCGTACACTATTTTAAAACTCCCTAACGTCGCCAAAAGTTTTTCGAGCGACAAAAAAAAAAGGAAATATACAGAAGTGTGTTGTCTCGTTGGAGATTTTAAGAGGTTTTGAAATACGTGGTCTTAAACAGCTGCAAGTGCATGTACCAGTTTCAACGTGGTTGACCGCGCTTAAGCGCAAGACTTGAACCTGCTTCAGGCAAGTCGAGAATGACGCACGTTTTTTCTGCGCCCAGACTACGAGACGAACCTGAAGCTCCAAGACGAGAGCGACGAAGAAGCCCTCGAGGAGGAGGAGGAAGAGCCGGAAGAGGTGCTGCCGGACATTCCGCCGTGGAAGAAGGCTCGTGGCAGGCCGCCCAAGAAACAGCAGGCCTCCGACAGCTTGGATCCCTTCTGGAGTGAGTGGTCAAGATTGGCAATGTTTTTTGTTTTTTTGGGGGGGGGGGGGGGGGGGGTTATGCTATAGGGCAGGGGTCTCAAACTCATTGAAGTGTGGGGGCTAGATTGCTCACCTCCAAAAGGACGAGGGCCAAAAAAGAGGCCCCTCTCTCTGTTGGCGCTCGTCCTTTCGGGGCAATGTTCTGCTATTTTTAGTAAGGGTGTGCGAATACTCGAATATACGAATTCGAATCGAATAGAAAGTTCCCGAATAATTCGATTCGTGAATCGAATTTTTAGTATTCGGTCACTCGAATATTCAATATATTCGGCCAAAGACGCGCGGTTGGTGCGGAGCTGACAAAAAAGCTTTTTTTTTTCTGCCGATGTAAGCGTCATGATATTAGACAGACCGTGCGAGAAACACCTCTTGGTCCTACCATTGTGCAAAAATCTAATGGACAGTTTAGAAAAAAGAAAAGTAACGAACGCCACAAACTTTATAGCACGCAGATTTACTCATGATCGTGACACAATCTACCCTTGAATCACAATCAAGACATCCCGTTTGTGCGCCGCTTCCAGAGAGGAATTTTTGGAAGGCCGGAATTTCGTGCCATGGCTAATTCTTTTCACGAGTAAAGCCTCTCGTTTCAAATTGAAGCGCCAATGTAGAACACACTTGCCGCACTCACAGAAATCGGTGGCTGCACGATCACAGAAAGAAAACCACAATAACCATGCCGATGAAACAAGCCGAGTTATCGTTGTCGTTCTTTTACGAACCGCAAGCCACAAATTTTGATTCTAAACGAAACGGAACAGATAAATAGTGTGCCTAGATTTGAGAGGGTTTCCAACCGTCAGATAGCCGCATTTCAATTACGAACTGCGAGAAGGTGACGGAAAGACGAAAGCGTCGATCGGGATCGGGCAGGCAGGGCAGGCGTCGTCGCTCTTCTGTTTGCTTGCCTTCTTTCCACGCGACAACACAACACATGCACACTTACGACCAATCTGCGCAGGAGCCGTCTCCGTAATTTCAGTTTCGCTTGCTCCTTCTTTTAAATCAAGGCTCTCTAAAACTGGATAGATAGTAGATAGACGGAAAAATGAATGAATAGCGGCAGTTGAACGGTGACTTGCGCCACCTAACCACACTTTTTTTTTCTTACTTCAGATTAAATTTTTTAGCCTGTTTACTCAGATTTAACACTTATCTGTTTATTTATGTGAAATGAAATCCCGGGTGCCCTTTTTCTTCCTTAAAAGGGAGACCAAATATCGCAAAATGCCTCTTTTCTGATATATACAAATATTTTTAAAAAAAGTTGCGGTGTTAGGTTGTGCTTTTAAAGGAGGACCAGCAGAAATATTCTTCCGCCTGGCGGAAAGTCCTCCTCGCCCTCTTTCTTCCTTTTATTGTAGCACGACGAGGCAAGGGGAAAGGTCCCCTTTTGCGCCGGCTTCTTCTGAGAGGATAAGCCGAGGAAATCCCCTTTCTGAGCGACGGGCAATGGGTGCGGCAGCAGCGACCTCGTGACTTACAGGTAGCTTCAGCTCCTATCGCGTAATCTGCCCCATTTTTTGGCGCTCACCAAGCCTAGCCCCTCGGGTGTAGGTTTTACGGGGCTGCAAGGCTGCGCCCGCGCAATCACCGAATTTCAGCTGTCGAAGGTCTTTGGTTTAGCCCGTGGCAAAGTAGACGCATACTTGAGAGCTGCGATTCATAACCGCACCCATTGAAGGAACGTTTCATAGATATTTTCGGTTGATCAAGGGGCTCAAAACACATGCGCGAGATGTGGTGACTTGAATATGTAAGTATGACTTACATCTTCACAAAACATTCCATCGTCAAAAAAAAAACGGCTTATCACGCTCAAACCTGCCTCAAACTAGGATCGATGGAAAAGAAAACGATGTACCAGGCGCGGGCACCTTTTATACTTCGTTTCAGCTTCGGTCCGAGCGCGGCCGATGTTACGAGCAAAAGGGCCAATCAAACAGCGTAAAGAGCGCAACGTCATGGCGTGCTCTCTGCGCTTGATAGGACTAGCCGGCAGAGGAGCACGCACAGAGAGACGGCGAATAGCGGCTGGTCCTATCAACTGCAGAGAGCACGCCATGACGTTGTGCCTCCTTTGCTGTTTGATTGGCCCTTTGAATCATAACATCGGCCGCGCTCGGACCGAAGCTGAAACGAAGTATAGAAGGTCTCTGTTTTCTAGCAGCGAGCACAAATTATTGGAGAACTTTAGCAGACTATGTTTTCAGGCCACGCTATATTTAGCGGGAGCTCGCGCTGCCACTTCGATGCATTCTCTGAAGCGCGCGCCTGAAGTGGCAGCGGGCCTTTGAAAACGATTTACTAAAATGCCCTGTTGTGTGCCTAACTCGCAGAACATGATGGCCAGCAAAATTGTATGAAATTCATATTTACACATTCCCAACAACCACGTGACGTGAGAGGACATCAAGGGTGGATGTCAATTTTAGAAAGTTTTAGTGGGTCGCTTTTAGCCACTTAGATAACCGTACGGTCCGTACCCCACAACGAAATGTAAGCTAGACTCGCTGTTTACATTCTTCATCGAGTGCGGCTATGGAGCGGAAAAGACAATATTAAAACCCTTTTTGGCGAGTCTAGCGTGTCGTGTTATGGTTCAACGTTGCTTGTATTGGTACCATAGCACGGGCCGCCACTTCGAAGTATTTGTGGTATCTCAAAGAAACTAAAGCAAAAGCAGACAATTTTTTTTAACGTGACACAGAATTGTATTTAACATTGTAAAAAACTTTTAGGTACCCTACGCCACGCAGTTAGCACAAACAAACTATCGCCGGTGTTTCCCACTTTTTTTTCTTCTTAGAAGTGAATGATGTTTAGGAAACTGTTAATGCGAGTATCCAACCTAAGCGGTAGATTTTAGTGCGAGTCGATACATTGCTGGGGAAAATAGCAAAAAGCGCCGATGTCGTGTTTGCGCTATCAGTGTCGCGTAATGTACGCATACCGCTGCACAATCAACGCTAACGGAGTGAATCAGTAAATTTGGTGGCCCCCCAAAAAAGTGGTGTTATATTGTTTTGTTTTTATGGTTGAAAGGTTGTTATTTTTATACAAGCAATTCGGTAAAGAGTGCTTCCATTGGGCACCAACTTACATGGCATCAATTTGTTCTTATACACTAAATTCTGCATGGGCCTTGCGTAAAAATGTCAATATTGCGTTCGTGCTAGCTGTTTCACGCACAGTAAGAAGACCAGTTCATTGCTCAAACATTTAAACTAGGCCTTTCTTACGCCAAATAGACATTTTGCGAGTACACTCTATTACGGGTGGTTCATAAAATAATCTACGTTGTTTATTTGGAGGAAAGGAAGCAGTGGTGAGGGGAGGCGGACTTGAATACAAAAGATGACTCTAGGGAACCTCGAACTCTGTAAATATTGCGCACACCCTATAATTCTGAGTTAATTACATCACGTTTGCTTTGTCTGTTTCAGAATTTGTTAACAGTCCCGCTAAAGGCCAAGATGAGCGACAAGTCAGATTCCCCTGTTTAGTTGAGCAAGAAGCGTATGCGAGATGGGGGGGGGGGGGGGGGGGGGGGGGGGGGCTGGGGCTGGAAAAGCATACGAGTGTAACCGTAGCAATCTCCTACCAAGCCTGAACCACAATTTTTCTGAAACCGCGGAGCTGACTGCTTTCGGCGACTTGATAAAGCAAGCCAAAGCCGTTAATAAGTGTGACTCGTTGTCAGCTGTGATAATCAAGGCGCTGCGACGATTCCTTGAAACCTTTCATCTATTAAAACAAATTGTGCAATAAATCCATTGCCATATTATGCTTGCGATGATCTTGTAGCGGTATGCGTGCATTACGTGGCACTGTTAGCCCGAACGCGACATCGGCGTTTTTTACTATTTCTGCCAGCAACAGGTATTTTCTAGCACTGAGCTCTGCCACTTAGGCTGGATAGTTCCATATCAGTTTTCTAAACATCATTCACTTTTAAGAAAACAAAATTAGAAAGACCGGCGATAGTTTGTCTGTGCTAACTGTGTGGCAGTATACCTAATATGTCTTTGCAATGACAAATTACAAACGCGTTTCATGTCAAAAAAAGATCGGCTACATTTTTTATTTTTTTTTATTTTTGAATGCTTCAAAACTACTTTAAAGGGGTAGCATGTGCTATAGCACCGATTTGAGCAACGTTGAATTATAACACGACACGCTTCGATAGCCGCACTCAATAAAGAATGCTCTCAGAAAGGTTATAGCGTATATATTGTTGTAGGGTACGGTTATCCAAGAGCTAAAGACGATCCACTAAAACTTCTTAGTATCGACACACACCATTGCTACCTTCTCACCTCATGTGGTTGTTGGGATGCGTAATAAATGTCATCTACATTCGTTGGCCATCATGTAGTGTGAGATACGCACACAATAATGTGTGCTCGCTGCTAGAAAACAGAGACCTTCTACAAGATGCCCGCGCCCCGGTATATCGTTTTCTTTTCCTTCGATCCCAATCTGAGGCAGGTTTGAGCGTGATAAGCCGTTTTTTTGAAGGTGGAATGTTTTGTGAAGATGTAAGTCATCCTTACACATTCAAGTCACCACACCTCGCGCATGCGTTTTGAGCTCCTTGATCAACCGAAAATATCTATGAAACGTTCCTTCAATGGGTGCGGGGATGCATCGCAGCTCCCAAGTATGCGTTTACTTTGCCACGGGCTAAACTAAACACCTTCGACAGCTGAAATTCGGTGACTGCGAGGGCGCAGCCTTGCAGCTCCGTGAAACCTACACCCGAGGTGCTAGGCTTGGCGAGAGCCAAAAAATGAAGCAGATTACATGATAGAAACTGAAGATACCCGTAAGTCACGAGGTCGCTGCCGCCGCACCCATCGTCCGTCGCTCAGAAAGGGGATTTCCTCGGCTTATCCTCTCAGAAGAAGCCGGCGCAAAAGGGGACCTTTCCCCTTGCCTCGTCGTGCTACAATA